CAATTACTGACCATTTATGTCGACGGTTAAGGGCGAAAATTATTTCTGTTTATTTGGTGACGTGGACAGAAAATGATTACTTCGTAATTAGGGAATACAAGTTAATCCGGCACGTACAGGGACTCTTACGTCAATAGATTTCTAATCCAATATATACCTGTTACATATGACAGACTGAAATTAATTAAAATGTATAGCCTGTGCGCGTTAGTTACATATTTAGGGTGATTTTTGTATATCAGTTATTGTAATAATGAATCTTTTGCTGTCATTCGAGCACGCCTAGCAGCTATCATCCGTATGTAAAGTATAACGTACACTGTTCCAACCTTACGATGCTGCTCTATGTATAAAACAGTTCATACTTATAATGTTGTTCTTCCCCATGTGTATGTCATAAAGTGTCAGCTTCGTTTAAATAGACATCCTGCTGTATCACTCGACATCAATTTTATTGGTTTTCTATTGTTTGTCTCTGTAAGGCTTTAGTGTTGATGGTGTAGTGATAATCAATTAATTAACCAAGTAAGCAATCAGGGAATCAGGCAATCTCATCTTAATGAAGCCAGTACAAAAGAACATCGTTAAAACTTAAATATGCATATTATTTATATGCGGAATTCATATGTAAATGATGTCGCGATACTATGACGTCAACAGTTGACAACTTTAGTCAGAGATCGAAACATTAATATAACAAAAACATACTATTTTTGGACAAAAATATGAGATTTTGTGTAAAAGAAGTAAATATAAGTAATTACATAGGTATAGGTGTATTTGAGTGGCAGGTAACGTGAATGTCGAGGACACATCAATATCATGATGCCACGTGCTTAATGATGTAAAATGTAGTGGGTGTCATGTGATAACAAAAGATGTGTATAATGGACAAAGGCACGTGTTTAGAATAGCCATAACAGAGTGAGAGCATGGGCTCTATTAGGCGAAAGAAGAACTTGCCAGTTAGATAGTTAGGCAATTGGATGATTTGTGATCACATGCCAAAACAGTCAAGAAGACATTTTTAAAATTCTGATGGTATATAAATATCAATCACATTTAGTGAACGAAATACATTCCTAAATTAGGGAAGCGTTTGTGTGATTACTTTCATAAATACAAATCTGCACCAGTGGGGAAAATAACAATATCTAAAATCATGTCTTGCGATCCCATACCTACAGGAAGATATGTGTGAACACTACCCAGCTTGACATGATGACGGGTTGTACTCGTCATTGTATCCTATACCCTCCACCTATGTTCATCAGAACGACCAGACCTGAATCAGTGGGGCATTATGTTTCACGATTAGCTCACTAAACCAATAATTATATATTTTCACATATCACCGAGTTCCCCCCCTCGGTGGTCCAATACTTACCTTACCTTATCTATGTTGTCGGTGTACAATAATCAGGTGTCTTTAAAGTCCGATTTAAAGGGGCGGGTGATTACATGTTTGATCATGGAACAATACAGAGATACGGCGTAGCTGACACATAGTTAGTTTACAAAACATAAGATGTATAACCATATAAGTATGTCCTTCAGATTGTCAATAACTACCCAATATGTCCCAACAGTATACTAAATCTATATTTCTTACTCAAGTAGTGATGTCTACTGTTTGGAATTGATGGGTCATTTTGATAGTCAGTATGGGTGAAGTTTAAAATATCACTGTCCTACGAATGTGGTTTATTGATATAAGCCTCAGAAAAGCGGTGTTAAAGATCTCGATCCCATGGATCTATATTACTGATATGGGTTTAACAATTTGTTTTATAGACCTCAGTTGCATGAATGTGCCTTTATCAATATCACTCTCGGGAATATATATATTGATATATCGACCTCTCTTAAGTTTTTAAAGTTCTTGATCCCACTAATGTTTATTAAGATCTTGATCCCATTTTTTTCATAGATATCGACCTCACTTATGATTTTAAAAATCACCCATGGAATTAGATAATGTTTTAAGATCTTGATTCCATTTCTGTCCTATACTTTTGTATTTTAATAGATGTCGATCCAATGAATGTGTTTTTAAATACAAAGGCGACGTGTGTGTCAAAGCATCGTGATTATTCCATGGCTGGTAGCCTTTATGTTTGGGATTAGACAGATTGCTAAGAGAATGATGGGATGTGTCACCATAAGAGTGTTGGACAGTGTCTGTTCTAGTACGACATTAGATAGAATCAGCTTGTATTAGGGTCGAAGCTTTTAACGGAGAGGGTGAGAAAAGAGCAGGGGTTCAAACAATGTCCCTGGCTAGACTTAAGATCCCATATGGACTCGGAAGCTCCAACGGATAATTAGGCAATCTCGTCGCCGCTAAATTGGCTTTGATCGATTTGATATATATGTCGAAGCTTCGGAACAGTAAGTGAGGCGGAAGTGGTAACATCGTAATGTCACCACCTTCCGTCTGTAAAACTCGTACAAAGTGACACAGAGTAACATCTGACTAGTACAATAGTATACATACATACATACAAAAAGTAGGTACATTCTTCGGTAACTATCTAAGATAAATTGTTATTACATTATATAATATCAATAACAACAACATCTTCAAGTAGAAAACGGAGATGGTTTAGCTTCAGCCAAAATCCTCATTGATAGCCACAAGAAGCACATTCTAATAGTTTGACTACACATTCACGTTAGATTTTACATCTAGTGTAAATCATTTTCATTTTTGATATTGAAGGTTTGGCTAAACCTAAACTAATTTTTTGCGTCTTGTCCAAATCCTCTTCAAAAACCAACAGCAATTACAAGATGCATTACACGGGACCAGTTCCTTATGTTCTAAACCATCTATAAAAAACATCAGTTTCAACGGGTTTTAATTCACATGAACCAACATGTTTTATCTCTAGTCCAAATCATCTATAACAACCAAAAACAACTACATAGTACAATACACGAGCGTTATTTTCATTCCTCTAGCCTAGTCGAAATAAAATATTTGAGATGTCTTAAGAAATTCTTATGAAGCAAAAGACACCATCTTGTGTTTACTGTATACTAAGAAGGATAGCAGTCTTGAGAGACCAAAGTCAGCCTCTTGTGATATTTATACGTAGATGCCCGGATGACCAGCTTGGACGATTACTCGACA